TTTTTTTAAGATGCACATATCAGAAGTATATTAGGCTCAAAACTTGTTGATAGCCCCTCGTAATACTGTCCATTAAAATCGAACAGATTCCCTACCCTATCTGTGGCACTCATTACAAACGCATGCAAACACAAGGCACATATTCACCTCATCAAACACGGTACGGTGGTGTCGCACCAAGGAAATTCTGTCAGCTTCAGAAGAAATTCATCTAATTAGAAGCAAAAGAGCTGTAGGGTTCGTCATTCGTGTCCAGTGCGACATTATGGCGGTAGTCAGATAAGGTATGTAAGGTATAAAAGTAAATTTTGCACGAATAGTAACAGATACAACACTATACTTTATAGATTACAATGTGACATCACGGATCAAGTACCGATTTGACGACCACCGCTATGTATCAATATCACAGTGTCACTTCAAGCAGATAGGAGTACACTGATCAAACGACTGCCTGCCCTTACAATACTAATCACCTTCAAAGGCCCTTGGTGGAAGAGTTACGGCTACGAGTATTTAGAAGGCAGAGTAATTTCTTGCGGCAGTATTGACTGACCTGCTTTTTCTGACAATTCCAGAGGGCTATATGAGGTAGTGATACATGGATTTTCTAAGCAGAGTCATCTTGCACCCAAAAACACGACAAGAGTCGATCACAGGTTCAAAGTAGCTTTTTAATGGGAAAAATATTGATTCACACCTTGATGAACAAGATCCCCGTTTTTCTACACGCGATTAGAAGCATGTTTTCTAAAGTGAGTATTTAAAGGTCAACGAGTTTGATCATTAGGGTGTCTGTGTCCAGAGACAATTATCAGTTAGACGATGTCCCATTACCACCATGATGAGAACCAGCAGCAAGCATACAGACAGACCCAAACAACACAACAGAACAGGAAGTGACGTTCCGACTATCTGGATGCACCCATAAAACCAATCTGCCATTTTTGTCCGGAACGTCTTCCACGATCTTGATGCTAATGACTCTTTTCCAGAGCGACACAACGTTGTCCTTGTCTGTGGGAACGTGACGGGACCGGTTTCGTTTGAAAAGCCGTTCCAAAGCATTGCATATGACTGTGGTGACCTTCTCCATAGATTGTCCCAACCTGCACCGCGGTTTTACTTTTCAAGTTCCGTCCGACCGTGGCTGCTCAAATTACCTTAGAGGATTAGTCTTTTGTAATGATAAAAGACCTTTTATAATTCATGTCTCTGCTGTGATGATGTCTTTCAGAAAGCTAAGCACATGTTAACAAAACATTGCACTCCAATCGTGTTACGGAATCTAACTTAATGGATTTTCAAACAAAAAATACCACGGTGGAATCGTTTACTGCAATTCCGGCATGTTGTATGGGAAAAAGGTCCAAAGGGACTAACTTCATATCGGGGAAAGAACGTTGATTGAAGCAGTTGTTCCCACTTGTCATCCTGGTGGTGATGACAAGACAAAAAGGTTTATCAAAAGACAAGAAAGGGGAGTTATTAGCAGCGTGTATACATCTTTAAAATGCGTCTTTGCGAGTAAAATTCTTCTGAAGGTAACCTCAAGGGAGGGATTCTGATCAATACTTGCAGTAGCTAGGGAATATTATCTCTTCTCGTCCGGCGACTTCATAATACATTTGGACATTGCATGTTTTTGTTTTGTCTCGGGAGGTGAGTCGAAGACTGTTAGATCAATTGGGAATGTATGCAGGCACTTCTGGTTATAACTGAGTATTTTCTGTGTCAGTGACCTAACTTATGTGGCTTTCCGTTTGGGGGACGGTGGGGTAGCCTGGTGGTTAGCGTTTGCTCGTCACGCCGAAGGTTCGGGTTCAATTCCCCACGTGGGAACAATGTGTGATGCACATTTCCGGTGTCCCCAACCGTGATATTACTGGTATATCGCTAAAAGCGGCGTAAAAACCATACTCACTCACTCACTTTTCGCTTGGTTGCATTGGTTATTCAAGCGAAAAGGCAATATTTAATGCGTAATGTTGAGATATTTAGTTAAATATACCTTACATTACAATAACCAAATATACCTCATATTTCAACAACCCCATTAAAACTGACAAGATGAGGTGAGGTGAGGTGAAATTGGGTTTTACGTCGTGCTTGAGAATATTTCGCTCATATGACGACGTGCATGCGTGTGTATGTGTATGTGCGGCTGCTTGTACTAGCCCAGACTTAAGCTGGTTTTATAGTGCTAGCCCACTGAGATACCATGCCGCAGTGAAGCATGAATACCCCACTCAGACACATTATACTGACTCTGAGCCGACCAGTCCTTGTTGTACCCATTAATGCCGAGCGCCAGGTAGGGACCAACAAGTACCATATTTTAACGTCTTTTGGTATGACGCGGTCGGGGATCGAACCCGCGACCTTCCGCTCTCCGGGCGGACGAAAACCACTACACCACGGAGGCGGTCTACCAAATGAGACAATTAAGCACACTAGTATACTGAAGTAGTATTCGAGCTATACTGTGAAGCTTAACTGTTCTCATGCTTTCCATCAGGTATATATCGTTTACTTTCCTGTGTTTACCATGGCCATTTGGTTGTGGATGGGGTTTAACCTCAGTGGTTATAACGATCTCTCGTCACTCAGAGACAAGGGACTCATTTGCGCACTCTTTTGTACATGGACTCTTCTTTATGAATTCTGAAAAATAGCAGACTGTTCTTATGACAACTAGAAGGGTTTTGTTTTGTTTATTTGAACTTGCATACGTCTAGGACATATGCATTTTGGGAAATATCATTGAAAACAATATTAAAGCATTACACTCAACTCAGTCTTAATCTGAGGTAAATAGCACAATATGATGGATGCTCTAGTCGTACTGACCATGTCGTTGGCCGTCAACTATGACATTATCGTTATTGTGTTAGGTTTGGTGAGAGGGACTGCTTGAAGGTTCTTAATGCACTGAAACACGAACGTCCAGAGAATTAGTTATATAGCTTTTGATATAGGCTTACGCTGCCGTCCCTGGTGTGACCATCCGACAAGCTTTCAGTCTGAAACACTTCAACAAGTCTGCGGTCTTTTCCTGTCTGGTGATGTGTTTGAACTCGCATGTTTGTGCCACATTCAAGGAGGCGCTGGGGATGAAGTAAGAGCTTATTTTGTATTATCATGCTTTTTTGTACCAGACACTGACGCACTGTTATTCTGGGAATAAGGATTTACATACTAGACAGATAGCTAAAATTGTATAAAGGACGTGTCTATGAACAAGGCTATTATCGTGTGTCCTCCAACCAATATGCACGTGTAAATTCCTCTTATAATTTATTTGCGCTACTTGTTCAAAAAACGTAAAACACAAAACTGAGGACATATGAAGCACAAGGAAAAAAGGTAACCCAACACCTGTGATTTTAACCCCATATTGCCATTTATATTCATATCATAATCAAGTTTGTTTGTATGAATATCTTAACTCTTCCTGCGCACTGTACACTAACTGTAAACATGCACATGCGGATATCTCGTCCAGTGCATGTACCGTCATTAAGCAAATAACTTGGAAAGTGAATTGAATTAGTGGTTAATAAGCAAATGCGGGGCCTCAGCGACAGAAACTGCTCAACGATGGTTGGCATAAGCATGTATCATTGGGTGATACTGCAAGATATGTTGGTTGCCATACATCGTCGATCAGCCGACTGACCAGAAAACCTCAGCAAACTAATGACGTTAAGGACCGCCAGCCTTCAGGTCGACAACGAGTGACAACTCATTGGGAACCTTCACCTCTTCTAAGAATCACAAGACGCCATCCGTTCATATCAAGAGTCATTGATTGTGTGAACATAACCATCAGACAATAAAGGACTGGACAACGGTACATCACTGATATCCTAGACAAGGTTGTTGTACCACATTTCGATTACTGTCCTCTGAACACAGGGCCATCAGGACTACGAAATTAGTCATGTTAGTTTTTCGCTCGTTTAGATTTGCCATTTAAATGTTCCTCGAAGGTGAATGGATCCTGATATTAAATTAAATTGAGTCCATTTGTTACAGTTAATGGTAACATATTGACACCATGAAAAATATAGGGTGTTGTGATACATTTTCCACGTGTGCATCTGCTTAGTGTCTTTCCAGGACAAATTACTTGAAAAAGACGCCATGAACAGGAAGCAGCTCTTAGAATGTCATTTGATCGACTCGCTCGACTGTTTCTTGACATTACGTATCTTACGTAAGACATCAGTATGCAAGAACCACATCCTCAGAAAGAATGATCCATGAATAATTGGAACAACCTAGCATTTACCATTGACACACATAATGCTTATTATCTTTCGTTTTCAATTCATAATATCTATCATCTTCTGCATTCGTCTTTCAGGTTCTTTTAGAAGCTGGAGTACTAAATTCTTCTTTATTACAAATAGGAGCTATTTTCATATCGTTATCAAGCATATCAACCAGGTAAAATACAGCGTTTGGATGCGAATCACATCTACAAGTATGTCGTGGCGTTTCAACACTTGAATAGATTGAAATGTGATGTCACCACTCCAGTGAATTACAACCCAGTCACTTGCTTGTTTAGAAATCTGGGATGATAGATACATGGGCTTGCCCAATTATGCATATATCTTTACCTTCTAGAATGTGTCATAACTGCTAGATTAGTCTATAGATCTCCAGATAACGCTTTCGTCCAAAACGTATCAAAATATAGAAATTTCACCAAGACTGTGAATGTTTCATAGCAATACATTTCCGACAATCATTCATTGTTAAAACAAAGTCACAAACCCAACTGAATCTGAAAAGAAACAATGTAATACAGTGATATTATTGTTTAGCAATGCATCACAATAAATGCGTTCATTTGTTTCATTATGTTCTTTTATTACGATGTCACGCTTTGCCCTAAGTTCAATCCTTTGAAAATCAAAAACGTCTGTTCACGATAGTTGCAATCGGTCCGTGTTTTACTGTGCAATATTTCATCGTCATGATGGAAACTAATGGCTGTTGCATACTTTATTTTCAGTGTAGCAGGTGAAGTCGGTGCAGCAGGTGAAGCTGGTGTATCAGGTGAAGCTGGTGTAGCAGGTGATGCCGGTGTAGCAGGTGAAGCTGGTGCAGCAGGTGAAGCCGGTGTAGCAGGTGAAGCTGGTGTAGCAGGTGAAGCCGATGCAGCAGGTGAAGCCGATGCAGCAGGTGAAGCCGGTGTAGCAGGTGAAGCCAATACAGCAGGTGAAGCCGATGGAGCAGGTGAAGCCGGTGTAGCAGGTGAAGCCGATGCAGCAGGTGAAGCCGGTGCAGCAGGTGAAGCCGGTGTAGGTGCAAGTGAAGCTGGTGCAGCAGGTGAAGCCGGTGTAGCAGGGGAAGCCGATGGAGCAGGTGAAGTCGGTGTAGCAGGTGAAGCTGATGCAACAGGTGAAGCCGATGGAGCAGGTGAAGCCGATGCAGCAGGTGAAGCCGGTGTAGCAGGTGAAGGCGGTGAAGCTGGTGTAGCAGGTGAAGCCGATGCAGCAGGTGGAGCCGATGCAGCAGGTGAAGCTGGTGTAGCAGGTGAAGCTGGTGCAGCAGATGAAGCCAATGCAGCAGGTGAAGCCGTTGTAGCAGGTGAAGCCGATGCATCAGGTGAAGCCGATGCATCAGGTGAAGCCGGTGTAGCAGATGAAGCCGATGCAGCAGGTAAACCGATGCAGCAGATGAAGCCGATGCAGCAGGTGAAGCCGGTCGAGCATCAAATCCGAAAGTTTATAGATGTAGAAAATGTTAGATTTGAATCTATTTCATATAAAATTAGATTGGCTGTGATATGACATTCAAATGCATTCAATGTGTGAGGGATATTTATCAGGCTTTCAATACATGCAACAGCTGCGGAACATTCTCTCGTTTCGTCAGGGCCACTTGATGATATCTTTGGACATTGCATGTATTTAATCTCTTTAAAGTCAAGTAGTAATAAAACAGGCACTGCTGGTAATCACCTAGTTTGTCACAGTCCCTGAACCGCATTATTTTCCCTTCAAGCCCTAGATGAAGCAAGTCTGGATTATCTCTGGTTCTCTGAATCTCCCATCTAACTGGGGCGCCTTTTCAATTTTAAAGGAATTGTTTGTTTCTATCAAAAGTTCATGTATTCAGAGACTAAGCGTTAGTCTTGTAATCACCGTGAGTCGTCTGTGTTGTTGACATGTGTGGCCTGATACAAATACCATGCAGTGCCCTTTCGTGTGAATCGCGAGTTATTTGGGATTAGTTTGACATAACTATATAATTTTTGTCACACAGTTCTATCAGAGTAATAAAGATTCCTGATTAAGCATTCAATAATGGAACGGGCGTCTTCATTTGACACCAGCAACTAATGCAGACACAGACAAGGGCGAATCCAGCTGCAACGGAAATCAGGAATGTAATGTATGTTTGTTGAAATCAGGACATGACACTTTGAAGACATCCTATGTCCAAGCACCAGGAGTGAGTGAGTGAATATGGTTTTTTACGCACATTTTATCAATATTCCAGATATATGAGGACCGGGGACACCAGAAACGGACTCCACACATTGTACCCATGTGAGGAATCGAACCCGGGTTTTCGGCGTGATGCTTCAACCACTCGGCTACCCCAGCAACAGGATATAATATGTACGACACTTTTTGACCTTGACAATGCTTGTGAAATTGAAGATTTAAACTGAATTACTTTGCAAACTTCACGAAATCGAGACATACGGGTTTATTATGGAAGTTTCCACATTTCTTCTCTAAAATAACAAAATATCCATTACAAATAAATTTCAAAAGACATCCTTTACACACAAAATACATAATTGGAAATTTTACACATCCAAGAATTTTCTGAAATTAGCACGAAGTAAAGTTTGGGTTTTGCGTCAATCTAAACACATAGAAAAATATTCCAAATTTAGATATTCATCATCTATAAAAGTATCAAGTGAGATGCTTGACATTCCAGATCAATATTAAAGTATGCAGTATTTAAGTCACATTTCCAACATGGCGATGAAAGACTGGAAAATCAAATGGCCCGGCTGCCATTATCGTTTGAAGGTAAATTGATTTTTTGCATTTGAAATTTCACGCACCGTTGACATTGGATTGATCTTAGAGCAAAGAATAACATAGTGATTACTGAGCATGATACATTTAATGAAAGCACTTGCATATGCATTAATTACGTTCACAGATTACAATATAACGCTATTTAACCCTGGCCTAAAAGCAATTAATTAAGAATTAATTAAGATAAAATCTTGTTCACAACAGACACATTAAGTTTGATAATGGTGTTCTAAAACTCACAAAACAATTTTTGTGGCCAGCGTAATGTTTTTTAAAGCTGATACAATGCCATTAATTTGCTGCATCAACATCGATGATGACGGTAATAGTGATCCTTACATTGACTGGAATCAATGGAACGGAAAGACCTCGTTCCCTCATTCCAGTTCATTAAACTAAACAAGATTATTATGCCTGTGTTGACAGACTTTTGAGAAAAATTTTAATCGAATAATTCATTCCAACATCAATGACTTTTTATCTCATTAAATGCTGAAATAGAACATCCATCACAAGGCGGAGTAGAACACAGCGATTCCATTCCTTCCTTCTTGATGTCACCTCAACCTCAGGACACTGTTGTGGAGTCACTTGTGGAAATGGAGCCGTGGAGGTCTGGAACAAATTACTAGTTGAATAATGATGATTCCCGAGTTCGGCTGACATCAGCTTTGAGAGGGATTGCAACCTGTTATCATGGTTGTGAGCCACCATTTTAACCTCCACAGCCCAGGTGAACGTTGGACGTTAGACGATGTATGCCAGGTGGATGGCAGCATCGTAGCTTCATGTGTAACACAAAAGTAAAGATGCTTCGCTAAAAGATCAAAGGCGCCGAAAGTACACACTGTATTGACAATTCTACACCATTCTCGTCTTTCCCCTTGTTATCAAACGTACCTTTAATGTCCGATACATGATACACGTTAGTTGTCATTGCCTAGTACAGTACAACTAACTCCGTAGCACCCCGTTTGCAGTTGCTATAACCGGCGTTAACGTTTTCGACGGAAAACAGTGTGTCAGCTCACAATTAAACAGCGACACGGCAATGTTCTCTAACTGAGCCTATGTCCACAGCCTGACAATACATCTGTGGAATGTGACTTGTCAGCTTCATCTGGATGTACTAATCTGATTTGAAGTAGAAATGCTCCATATGGTAATCTGAAATTTGATTAAAACAATAAGGAGAAGATATTTTACCCGAAAGTAAACCGTCTTCAAACTGGAGGGGGAAGAGAGGGAGACTGGGTAGTCACCAACATCGTTTCATACATGACGGTTGGCAGCCTGATAAGATTAGCATTGAATGAGCGTAAGATTCTTGCACGAGACCATCAAACAGATGCGACACGCGAGACAGATTGAGTAATGTACAAACGGTTACCATTGTACAAATGTTATTAGGCATTATAAGGAAGGTTTCAGTTTGACACCTGACGAAGTACCAACTCGGGCACAACTATCATGCATCCAGATCACAGAGCTAAATCAACCACATGCGCTCATGTTGATCAAACGCAACGTTTGTTCTAAACTACTTATCACCTGCAAAGACAAATTATGAAAGAGTTACAGCTACGAGTCCACATATTTAGTAGTCAAAGCAATTTCTATTGGCAATATTGACTGATCAGCTTTCCGTGAAAGAGACTGTACTGGATATTCCAGGCAGAGTCCTGTTGCTCCAAAATGGCAGCATCAGTCCCTAACGCTTTTAAAGTAGCTTTTTATCGGTTAAAATGTTGATTCACGCATTGATGAACGTGTTTCCACACGTGATGAGAAGCAATCTCTGTGAAGTGAGTATTTAAAGGCCAACAAGTTTGGGCTTGCCTACATCGAGAGACAATTATCAAATGGACGATATCTCATTACCTCCACGAGAGGTATCCCTGAACAACGCAAGGTAACTGTTAGTGATGTTACGACCATCGGGGTACTCCCATGATGCCATTCTGCACTTGATGTCCGTAACTTCTTCCGTGATCATGAAGTTTACGTCTCTCATTCAAAGCAATAGACCGTTGTCCTTGAAAATGGTGGACTAGTTTTGTTGGAAGAGAGAGTCCATAAACACTCTGGTGAAATCAGCAGTCATGAATTCTGAGCGAAATTAGACATTCTCGCCCATGGGCCAACATAGTTTTCGCCCATGGGCGAGCTTTTTTAATATCGCCCTAAGTTATTCGAATTAAGTCAAAATGAGATGAAATTTGTGTCATGATGCTTATAAACATACACTCATTAATGTACAACCTCAAAAACATGAAATCTGAGCAAAATTAAACATTCTTGCCCATGGGCCACTGTTCGCCACTGGGCCGGCCCATGGGCGAGCGAGTTTAAACTTGAAGTTTTCGAAAAAAATTGTTTTCAATTTTTCATCCTTGGCATATATTCATAACAACTGCATGTTTAATTTGGTAAAATCCCTTGTCAGAAAGTGCCCACAGTGCGGAGAGTTTCTGGACTTTTGTGAGTCCAGAATTAAATTGTGACGTGTTCCACGGACTGTAGATTGTCCAAATCTGTACCACGTCATTTCAGCAGAGTGAGTGCCATCTGGCCGTGACTGTCTACCTCTAAAAACTTGCATACTGTGTTAATGAAAGGCCATATATAATTCGCGTCTCTGCTGTGATATGGTAAAGGACATAAAGCATTGGTTTTCGACAGTCCCACTTGTCACTTAAAATCGTTTACAATAACTCTTCTTGAGGGACATGTCATACCAGAAGAAGAAGGTTGATTGAAACTGTCGGACCTATTTAAAGAAAGATTATCAAAAGTCGAGACGGGGTTTTATTAGCCATGTGTGCATCTCATTGACATGCGTCTTTGCCATTACAATATATTGGTCCCGTCAGTGGAGGCACAAGCTACAACTCGTTTTCTCATTTAACCACATGTTAGTGCATTTCGACATTCCGTATGTACAGTCTCAACACCCGAAGACAAATAAAACGAAATAATGTGATAACTGTTTGACTTTGACAGGATTTGTGATAATGAAAATGAAATATTTTGCCAGTTCCTAATATAAAAATCGAATGAAGGTATTCGAAGGCCTTAAATGTATGCCTCGACCTGCTGCAGTAATTTCAAAGTATGCAGTGTTTCCGTTTCATTTCCAACAATTCAAAATAAAATGCCCCACTGCCATAATCACTTTAACCTAAATTGACTTTTAGCATTTCACATTTCACGCAAAGATGGTAATGGATTCATCTTAGGGTAATAAATGACGCAGTGACTACTGAGCATGTTAAAACGAATAAACGGTCATGCCTTGCATCAATCATGTATACAGATTACACTGTAAAACTAATTATTCCTGAGCTTGAAGCATTGAATAAAGGTGAACCCTTGTTTACAACTGACTCACTTTGTAAACATTGTTGTGAAAGTAATAAAATGCTTTTTGGGGGCGAGCGTTACAATCCCCAGATATAATGCTATTAATTTAATGTTCATGACAGTGATAGTGACCTTTTTGTTGGATTGATTCAATTGCCCGGAAAGATCTGTCTTCTTCGTTTCAATTAATTGAACTAAAACAAGGCTATCATTCTTGTGTTAAAGGTGTTTTGACAAAAATACCAATGGAATATGATTAGCAGTCACTGCAGTGGTTGTTTAAGAATAACAGATACAAGACGAAGTGTGTACTCTGACAATAAGGAATTTCAGGCTACTACGTTTGCACTGTGTTAATCATGACAGCAGAAGATAGATATCTGATATCAATTCATTTTTAGAATACAGACAGCTGAAAATAAAGTGTATAGTGCGACAATAGTGTTAAAACTAAACTCATTCACTCACTACAACTGTAATATCTACCTTTCTTTTTTATTGTCCTTAACATGTATTTAGTTATACCTAGTCTGTCATGCAGACCCTAAAGCAAGTATAGCCAAGAAAGCCCACACAAGTCTTGAAAATGTGGCAAGTCTAGATTTCCACAGCTTAATGAAGAAAGTTTCAGGGCTCCTTTTCATTATATTTTATTTTTTTTACAATGAGGGTTTTTGTGTAAATATGTTCATTTCTGAAACTAGCTGTTAGTCTAAGTAATACCCAACTTGTTCTCATCGCCATATGGGTGAGTGAGTTAATATTTAACGTCACATCGGCAATATTTCAGCCATATCGTGACGAGAACATTTGATATTGAAATGAAATATATGTATATTATAAAAAAAACTGCCGACGAAGGACAGTAAAACAACTAGAATATCACAGATATGTATGTAAAACTAGTAATTAAATCTAAAACGTTTTAACTATAGGGGAAAAACAATACAGTATAAAAATGGGCTATAAATCGCCAATAACTGAAGGTAGATCACCATACCAGGGACTCATCGCCATATTGCTGATAGCGACAGATTTACACATATCAAGTGACCATCCAGACATGAGAAGCGACAGTTCCGGAAGTATGTCTGTCACAGTGGGTTGGACGCGTCACTTTCTGGTTTGGAGCTACTCACTTTAGACAATTATGTCTTGCTGGTTTCTTTCAACCATATGCTGCTGGCGTACTGTCTAACGTAATATTTGTAATATGTAGAAGAAATGTTGGAGCATCTTCACCTCCACGCGACCCGTGAACATACGGGTTTTATTTGATCTTCAGTAACCCATGCTTGTCGTAAGAGGCGACTAACAGGATCGGGTGGTCAAGCTCGCTGACTTGATTGACACATGTCATCGGTTCCCAATTGCGTAGACCGATGCTCATGCTGTTGATTACTGGATTGTCTGGTCCAGACTCGATTATTTATAGACCACCGCCATATAGCTGGAATGTTGCTGAGTGCGGCGTAAAACTAAACTCACTCACTCACCTCCACGCAAACTCAACAACGCAAATCTTAACAGTACGTGGATAACAATGCCACTGTGTTTGGTGACAGAAATGTGGCAGGTTTCAGAACACAATAATACTGAACGGTTTTATTTTATTCTTATTTTGAATGAAGGAATAAAAGCAAATCAACAGACGGGAAGAGAGCATTGGCCAGCTTGTCAAAGCAGGACTGATACCCTAATCCAATGCCAATAGCTCAAAGAACGTATTCACTCTCTCCCAGGAACATGTTTATTTATCTCGGAATTTAGGTTCTTTCTAGCAGTCCCTCTGACGAAACATAACACAATAACGACAGCCCAAACAAAAGACAACACAACAAAGCATCCTACAATTTGTGCTACGTATCTCAAATAGGGACACTATAAATGAGTTTTTATATTAGATGTGAAATGTTGTGGACATTTACAACTGAAGAGAAGACAGATGGATTTAAACCTTTACTAACTATGACATATCTATTCTATAAGTAGTTTCTACTGTGCGATTCCCATTGTATCATGTTCCTGTGTTTAACCGCCATCAAACAGTAATGATACCGTATGTATACTAAAAGTTGTTCTCACCTTATGTGTCCATCACAAGCGCATGCACGGATAATTGGGTTGTTTTGTTGTTTTGTTGTGTAACGCCGCACTCTGCAATATTCCAGCTATATGACGGCGGTCTATAAATAATCGAGTCTGTACCAGACAATCCAGTGATCAAGGGCATGAACATCAATCGATTGGGATACGATGACATGTGTCAAGTCCGTGAGTTTTACCACCCGATCTAATCTGTCTCACAGTCCTTGAACCACATTATTTACCCTACTGCCTAGTCCTCTCTGCGGTGCTAAAGCCCTAAATGAAGCAAGTCTAGATTTCCTCAGGTTCAGGGTCTGTTAACATCTGCAAGAAAACTAACTCACTTTAGGGGTCGGGTTACAAAGTAAACTTCAACTGCCATGGCTGGCCGGACCAACATCTTGCCTCACATTTTCATCGGTCAACTCTTGAACTATGAAAAACTATGAATAGAAGAAATACGTCCAAACCAACGAATTGGTATAATAAATATGCCTGTCACTTAAAATGTTATCTGATGGTTGTATGATGTGACTTCTAATTGGTAATGACCCCAGCACGTGCAGCCCCAATGCAGATGTTATTAGTCCCTGAATCTCTGGTCTCCCTGGGCCTCCTATTCAATTTAAATGGGTTTGTTTGTTACTATCAAAATTATATATATTCAGAGACTAAGCGTTAGTCTACCACCAGATCCTCTTACCAGAAGCATGGGTTGCTGAAGACCAAATCTAACCCGGATCTTCACGGATCCCATAAAACAGTGATGAAGCCGTGTGTATGGTCAAAAGTTTAACGTTTTTTACCCAATCTTTGGTGTCCATCACAAGCCCATGCACGAATAAGTCAAATGAACAAACACCAAGGATAATCATAAACTCTTTGCAGTTACTGTGACACGTGACGCTACATGTCAATAGACAGCTGGACGATTATAAAAAATCACTGTCAGATTAGAATCAAATGAAATACAGGATTCGAGAGTTGGTCCTTCAGATATTCGAAAGCATCACTTATGAGGTAAGACAGATATTGTAATGGACACAAAACATACAACGTAAATATATGGGGGCTATATTAGGTAATTGGATCGGTCATGTCTGCAGGATGCACCCACATTCCATACCAAGGGTTGCTATGCGATGGACACCAAAAGGAAAAGGAAACCGAGGTCGTCCAAAGGAGACATGGAGAAGATCTGTGGAGGTAGAGATACAGGACGCGAGGTGGACTTGGGGACAGGTGCAGCAATGGGCCCAGGGTAGACAGCATTGGAAAACTCTAGTAACGGCCTTATGTGCTAAGACCACGAAGAGGATAAAGTAAGTAAGTATATTAGGTAATGTCACAAGTAATTTCCAAGCAGAGTCTGGTTGCATTGAATGTCAACCTGCTACACTGACTACTATAACTTTAAATTTTGCCATCACATCTCCAGCATTGCCATGAAAATTCGCCCAACTGGCAGTATCACATGATAGTAATTTGACATTTTTACATTTGAAATTTCACGCACAGATGGCAATGGATTTATCTTTGGGCAAAGAATGATTCAGTGATTACTGAGCATGAGGAATTTAATCAAAGCACTTGCAAATGCATTAATCATGTTCACAGATTACACTGTAACACTGTTTAATCCTGGCCTAAAAGCAATGCATTACGATAAAAAAAACCTCACACACTGGTTGCAGTATTCTGAAACATAAATAAATTTTGGGTCGAGCGTAGCATTCCCTAAAGCAGATACAAGGCTACTCATTTGGTGCTCGCAACATCCATGATAATTGTAATAGTGATCGTTCTGTTCACTGGAATCAATGGAGAGGAAAGACTCCGCTTCTTCATTTTACTTCATTAAACTAAACATGATGATTATGTTTGTGATTCTAGACTTTCGACAAAAATACCAGTCAAATATTTTATCCCAAGATCTCTATTTTTATCGCATTACATGCAGGAGTAGAATATCCACGGCGGACTCCATTATGATGATTCCTTTCCAATTTTCTGTCTGTCACTTCCCCTTCAGGACGTTGTCGTAGAGCTACTTGGTGGCCTGACGCCTTCGAGCTCTGGAACAAATGACTAATATAACTTCGGTAATGATGTTTCCGATGTTCACCCTGTATATGCATTGAGCGAATCCTTACCGAATCTCAGGAATAGTGGCCAGGGACTAAAGGGATGGTATAAATCCAGCTAGGGCCCATACAGGTTGCAAAAGTACTGTCCCTAGTATGGTGATCTACCTTCAGTTATTTGCGATCTGAAGCCCATTTTTTACAATGTTATATTGTTTATTACTTTATTCTGTTAAATGCTTTCAAGTACTTTTAACTTATATCTGTGATAATCTAGTTATTCTACTGTCCATCGATGACAGATTTCTTATTACGAATATGTTTAGTATTTATAATCAAATTCACGATATCGCTGAAATATTGCCGATTTGACGTAAACTTGTAACTAACTAACCCTACTGAGTGACATCCCGCATTTTTACTTCATGGTAAACAAGAACAACAGAACAGCTCACCTTGCTGGACTACTAAACTATTGCAAATAGTAATATGTTTAAATGCCTACCTCTTCGAATGAATTTGGAGTGACATAAACCTAAGAGGGGGGGGAGAAAGTAAGAGAGACTGTACGCAAGAGAGATAAAATTTCATTGTGCTCACCGATTGCGATTGGTGTGTATGTGTGTGTGTGTTTGTGTTTGTGTGTGTACATGGCTGTACATTCCTTTCCCACAACAGATAAATCATTACAGTAGTTGTGGTATTGCTGTTATATCGTGTCGTGTTTTTTTTTTCAATAATGACCTTAATGAAATGAAACCCAAAAGCATCTTCGTCTTATTGAAATATACGTGTATATATTTCTTTATACGGACCAGCTTTCAGTGACACTAAATTTGAAAATAGTGTCTCTTCTTTCCTCCACTGTAATCATCTGAACGTCACCCCAATTCACCCCTGCCAGTGAAGGTAAGAATTCTATAATTTGAACTGCATCTATAATATATTCTTGATCACACTCTGTTCTCTGACAGTATGAGTGGAAACCATGATATGAAATGCAAGTTTGAGCAAAATAAATAAATAATCATGTTTTGCTAATTAGTGTACATGGATAACTGATTTGGATAAGAAAAAACGATACCCTGACTGAGTTCGGATTTTTGCACCAGTAGAACATCACTGCAACTATTTACTCGATCATAAAACGATATGATACCTTTGAAAATGGCTGAAGGATAGTTCATGGAAACTCTTCTTAAGTACACACATTATCTATGTCTATCCTTTAAATCTATCCTTTAAGTCTCAACAATCCATTGATAACAATGTGCCAGTGTTTTGTGAAAGAACCATGACAGGTTTCACAACACAATTATAAATATTACGGTCTCTTTTTATCTCTGGTACCTCTTTGAACGCAGGGATACACAGCGAGTTCAATCACATCGCAAGAAGGGAAGATGTTGTCATGGTGTGATTTAGAGTGAAATCCTCTCAGATGGTCACAACAGGGATGGTAGCGCAATCCTATACCGATAGCTCTACTAACAAAGTCTTTTGTCTTGCATTACTGAATTAAGCATATTCCATGCAGTCATGAACCTCACACAATACTTATGATAACCAAATACACAGGCAACACAACGACGGCGTCCAACAAATCGTTCTGTTTTATAAAACATTTATACAATGAGTGTGCTAGGCTGCTTTGAATGGTGTTTCGAAGATGTCATGTTACAGACGTATACAAAATTAAGTGTAATGAAAATGAACCTGTCCAAGAAATATGTCCTTAAAGCAGTGTCGAATATATACTGGACAAAATAAGTTAGGGATAGTGGTATGTTTATGATTTAAGAAATACACTTCGCTCTACCACCAAGTATAGTGTAATAAAACACACTATTGCCCTGAACTATTATAGTTTTATTACACTATACATGGTGGTAGGGCGAAGTGTATTTCTTTTCTAAGATGCCAAATTTAATACTTTCTAAAGATAATTACGATTAATTTAAGGCAGAAAACAAACGACGGTGTCGGTGACCTAAATTAAGAATCCTCGCACAGGGCTAACTGGCGCGCTGTTCTATTGATGTGTCTGCCCCCTACGTTAAGACGAACGTTACCAGAAAAAAACAAATGATAACAGTTTGATGACGGTTTACGTTCGGATTAAATATCTTCTCTGAATTATTTTAATTACATCTGTCATTAACGTAAACCATATGGGGCAATATGAACGTTGCATTTCTACTACCACCGTAAGTTTAGATCAGTACATCAGAGGAAGTTGAGTAGTCAAGCGATATTCCACAATTGCATTGTGGAAATGTAAACATTACGAACGTTACCGTGTCGCTGAAAACTTGTGAATAATAATAATAATAATAGTTCATTTATAAAGCGCATATTTCCATGCACAATGCATGCTCAAAGCGCTGATGTCAGGACGAAAAGGCTTTTTGGAAAAGGTGGGTCTTTAGCGATGTTCGAAAGGTTGAAAGTTCTGTCATTTCTCTCAAATGTTGTGGGAGATGATTCCATTCTGAGGCTGCAGCATAAGAGAAAGTTCTTTGACCAAATTTAACTGTTCTGACTTTAGGAATACACAGAAGATTATGTTTCTCGGAGCGGAGGGATCTTGTTGGTTTGTATGGAGAAAGGAGGTCGGACAGATATTGAGGTGCACTTTCAGAGAGACATCTGAAGGCGAGAATGCAGAATTTAAAATTGATGCGCTGTGGAATGGGCAACCAGTGGAGGTCCTTCAACACAGGGGTGATGTGAGATGACTTGGGTGAGAGAGTGACTATTCTTGCTGCTGTGTTCTGAACCCGTTGCAGTCTACCAATCTGGGAATTTGTTGCACCAGCAAAGAGGCTGTTGCAGTAATCTAGTCTTGTCATCACCAATGAGAGGACAAGGATTTTAGCTGACTCCTTTGTGAGAAGCTTTCGAATGTTTCCAATGTTTCGGAGGAGTAGGAAGCATGTCCTGCACAAGATGGTAATGTGCTGGTCCAATGACAGCTCGAGTCAACAGTCACGCCAAGGTCCTTAACACTGTTAGATAGTGGAACAGTGGTTTCGCCAAAGTGAAACGACTTGATGTTGGTCTGTTCTCGGCGAGGTGTCGTCCCTACCAGAAGACACTCTGTCTTGTCCTCATTTAGCTTCAGCTTGTTGGTGAACATCCATGACTTGATCTGGTCACAACACTCTGCCGTGTGGTCTGTTGCAGAATGCACGTCAGTTGGATTTGGTTTGAAGCTGTTATGAAGCTGGGTGTCATCGGCATACAACTGTCGCGAGACTTGAAACTGGTCAATTGGAGTCCCGAGATCCTTTGTGTATAGTGTGAAAAGGACCGGTCCCAGTACAGATCCCTGAGGAGCACCACATTGGAGATGAACGTTGTCAGAAGAGCAACCATCAATGAATACAGCCTGATGACGATTTGTCAAATAAGATGTGAACCAATCCAGCACTATCCCATCGATACCAAAGTTATTCCTGAGACGAGACAGAAGCCTGCTATGATCAATGGTGTCGAATGCGGCGCTGAGGTCGAGGAGGACCAATAAAGAAGTCATGTTATTGTCAACACTGAGTCTCAAGTCATTAAACACACGGACAAGAGCTGTCTCAGTACTGTGGTCCTTACGGTAAGCCGACTGATATGGCTCGTAGAGGTCATGATGCATCAGATGCTGAGATAACCTGTCTCCCACTGCTCTCTCTATCACCTTGGACATGAAGGTAAGGTTGGATACAGGACGATAATTCTTGAGTTCATCTGGATCCAGATTTGATTTCTTCAGAAGAGGTTTCACTATCGCTGATTTAAATGGAGTGGGCATGATGCCAAGTCTGAGGCTAGTGTTTATCATGTTTGTGAAGACAGGCACAAGAATATCAATGTTTTCTAATAGGAGTGGCGTAGGAATTGGGTCCAAAACACAAGATGTTGGCTTAGATTTCCGGATGAGTTTCATTATTTCGTCTTCGGGGAACTCTGTAAAGGAGTCGAACAACACCAATGCTTGTTGATCACACGAAGATATACTGTCTTGATCATCTGTAGAAGTTTCAATCATAGGTTTACGGATTTGCTCAATCTTATCGAAGAAAAATGATTGAAATGACTGAGCTATCTGCACAGAGTCTCCAAGATTTGGAAGTGGATTATGTGTCTCTTTACCAAGTAAGCTGAACATAAGTTGGTACAGTGAGTTT